CACACACACACACACACACACACACACTCACACACTCACACACTCACACTGACACACACACACACACACACACATGCGTGCGCACCAGCCTGTTGATGGCGTTGAGGTTTAGCGTCGCCTCCTCCTCTGTCTGGCCGCCAGACAGGAACATGATGCCCGCCACTGCCGGCGGCACCACGCGCCGCATCACGCGCAGCGTGCGCGCGGCCACGACCTCCGGCGTCGGCTTCGGGTCGGCGCACTCGGTGCCCTGGTCATGAGGATGGTACAGTATTGCGATAATCATGCGGCAGCGACACGGCCGACTGTGGCCGGCGCTGCGGCAGGCATCATCCGCGATGCAGATGGCAGTCAGCAGGGGCATGCCAGAGCCAGTGAGCCGACCCGCCCTTCTTTGGCCGCCCGTTCCAACTATGTCTTATCAGAATGCCCCTTGCAGCACAGACAGCAGCTGGCCAGGCGGCCAGTGTGACTTCAGGAACACTGCAAAGGAGCCGTCCGCCATGCATACCACCAAGGCCTCGGCCACCAACCCCAGATCCTCAACACTTCAACCTCGGATCCTTCAAATCTGAGCCCAAAGGCCCACCTGCACGACCATCTGCGGCTTGAGCAGGCACGCCTCCAGGCGCACGTCGCGCCGCCACAGCGCCGCGACGCACGCCGCGATGACGCGCTCGGACGCCTGGCGCCGGGTTGCGGGTTTGACGCATGCTTGTTGCTGCATGTCAATCCACTCAAAAGGGCACCCATGTGTGTCACGTCCCTTGAGCCAGCAAGCAATTTGCCTGAAAGGCTCCTGGAACACAGCTTAGCGGGTAGCAAGTGCTACACCACACAACGAACAGTGCCAGCTGCACCTACCTCTGCAAACACATCAGCGCTGTGGGGGCCGTCGATCAAAAGCTCCGGCTCCACAATGGGCACCAGCCCCACGACCTGGAGGCGATTCAGGGCGAAAGCAGGCCGGCGGCGAACATCCCTTGCACGAGCACGCACTAGCACTGACGCCGGCTGGCGCATGCGCAGTGATACGAGGCGAGGGGCTCTGCTGGGGATGCCCCCCAGGCACGACCAGACACGCCGCCCCCTGAAACTGCAGCAGCCGAGCGCGCACTATGTTGTCTCCGGCCCTTGCTGCACCAAGATTATTAGAGAATAATCAATCACGTAATTCAGATCGTCGAGTCACAAGAGGGGGGTCGCAACGTACCTGGCAGATCGCCGCGTACTCCGCCAGCTGCTCCGCGTTGACGCTGACAGCCAGGTCCGAGGGGCAGGAGCCCTCCGCCACCTTGAGCGCGGCGCGCCACTTTGCAAACTTGGCCCCCTGCTTGACGTACTCTCTGGGTGGTGGGAGGGTCAGTGGGTGTTGGAGGAGGACATTGACGGAGGGAGGGTTACCCGCCAGCCCCAGCACAGCCGAGTTGGATGGGTACCACCCATCGTGTCACGAGCGCCGGACCGTGTGCGCATGGCATCTGACGGCGTGCGCACGCATGCGTGCAGGAGGACATTGATGGTTGGAGGTTGGAGCGTGTTCAAGAATTATTGTTCAAACACTGAAGGCTCGCAAAACCGCGCGCGCCTACACACGCATGCGCGCGTGCACGCAAACAACGCATACATACACGCACCTGCACGATGCCTCCAGCGTCTCCAGGCCGCGCGTGCTGGTCTCCCCCGCCTGCCCGCCTTCCAACGGCTCCAGCCCCTGGGACCGCCACATCAATCACGTGAACAGCCAAACCACAACCTCGCATGCCACAAATGCAACCCGATGGCGCTCTCAGGCGCTGCTGTGGCGGCCCTCGGCGCCTTCAAACCCTGCATCTGATGCTCCTCGTCATCACCCCTGCCGGCCACGCTGTCGGATCTCAGATCATCAGATCTCAGATCATCCGGCGCACCTCGTCCACCTTGATCCCTGGCAGCACGCCCTGCTTTAACAGCAGGTCGACAAAGGGGGTGCCGTCAGCTGCGGATTGGTAGAGGGTCTCCTTGTACATGATGACACCAGAAAAGGCGCCACCTGGAATGAGCAATTGAGTGGGGGGGGAGGGGCCCGGCTTGCGCATGCGTGTTGTGTGCATGCGTGAGAGAGCGGGCGTGCATGCACTCTCCATGCACGCGTGGAGGGTGTGTGCCCTTGCACACATGCATGCGGCGCAGAACGTGGTATGTATGGTTGTGAACACATACATGTGCCCACCGCTTGCTCTCATGCGCCGCCCAGCAGCCCCTCACGCACGCAGGCCGACATCCGCCGCGGCCTCGCCGACCGCTGTGGCTGCTGCGGGGCCCGCCCCGTCCTCTTCCGCCCTCACCTATGCCAGGTGCCGTGTAGAACAGCTCCCTGTAAGCCCTGCGGTTCTCGGCGGTGTTCTCAATGCCCGCCTTTTCCAAGCGCTTGCCGATGGTGCCTGGAGGGTTCGATACGGGTGCCGAGGGGCGGGGGGTGCGCGTGAGGTCATTGGGGGTTGACCCAGGCTCCCTGCCGCCATTGGGACTCCAATAGAACGTTTGGGTGATCCGTGCTTGACAGACTTGCAGCATGCAGCTTTGAAACAGATGGGTCGGACGCCAGTGGGGACGGCCACCACTGCAGCATATCTGAGCTCAGCAGCACAGCAGAGCACAAGCAGGCAGTGTGCGCGCCGCACCGGTGCTCTCGTCACTTGCGAGCAGGCCCTTGCCAGAGGCGGCCAGCGCGGCGGCTGTGGCCTCTAGCTCGTCCATATTCGCCACCATCTCAGGCAATGGCGTGCGGCCTCGTGAACGTAACCGGATCGCGGCACAACTGCTCAATCCAGGGCCCTCGTACGACTCTCTAAATTATCAAACAATTCTTTTGCACCAAGATTCACTGGACCTTGGAAGTGGCGCTTTCTGATCTTCGTCACCCGCACACTGCCGGATCCAGCCCCGGGGGACATGTTACCATGCACCGATGTACTATACTTATGCAATAATGCGTTGATGGTGTGGGCTGCACTTCAGGATCGGCGGTCACGTGTTGCGTCGCCGCCCCGCCAGGACTGCACTGGACTGCGCCTGAGCAACAAGGCCATGCTCGCAGGACCGATCGTTACGCATTTCCATCTGTACCTTGTGTTCCCCGTGATTCTCTTGCCTGTACCAATCTCCTCAATGCCCATTCTCGGAGCACGAGTTGCAGCAGGTGCAGCACCTCACGCACTCTGCTTGCGAATGCTGCTCTCAGTTGCTCTGCAGGATGGTGACACCTGCACTGCAGCCTTACACCTATGCCCCCACAATAATGTGGTCCCGGAAAACCCACCACATTGTCTGAAACCCGATGGATCCCAGATGCTGTCTAAATGCTTGCGTCTGGCACTGCTAAGGGCGTAGTGTAAACAGCTGTTCGGGCCGCACCTTGACATTATCATATGTATGCGGACATTGGTCAGCATGTATGGCTGTCGTGCAGGTCAGGCCAGGAGCTTGATTAATCAGGGCCTCATAACAATTTGACGGACTGCACCGCCCAGCGTGCTCACTGACCCCGACGGGCATCCCTGCTGGTCCTGATGGCTCCTCCCATTCCCCTGGTGTCCCAGCCTGCTGCACCTCTTGTTCATCATATTGATGGTTCCCGCCAAATGCTTCTTCTTCTTCTTGCAATTCCTGCGGGGCGGCAGGCCTGCGCAGGCTGCAACCGGACAGCTCATGCCTTGGGGCAGCTGCCCACACTAGGGTGACAGGGTGACACCACACAACTGCCAGGATATCGACAGGGCCATCATTGACACACTCCACTTGTGTGTTTGCTTGCATCTTTTTCGTAACTTTGTAGAGGTTGTTTTGAGCAGGTCCCTCTGCCATGGAGGCAAAGGATGCTGCGGCAGCGGCGGTGCCGCCGGCGGGCAACGCAGAAGGGCCTGTCACAGCTGAGGCGCTCAGGTGAGCAAATGGAGAGATGATAGCTTTGATCGTGTGCATATGAGCGGCGATACATGGCCCTTGCTGGCGCCTGGTGCCGGCGGCGATCTTGGCTGAAACGCCGCGTTCTGATGGTCAATGGCCGTTGATACGCAGGGCCAAGCTTGATCAGCTCCGCGAGACGTTCACCAAGGCCAACACGATGATCGACATCTTCAAGGTCGCCCAGGCAGCCCAGCAAATCGCAAAGCAGTCGATCGATAGTATATCCAAGCGTCAGGTGTGCATTGAGTGGGGTGTGGCTGCGGGCCGAGGAACCGTGAACCCGGCGGTGGATGGCGACGGGGTGAAGCGTCAGTCACCTGCAAAGTGACATATGCTGCGCGCGCAGGGACGTATGCTGCACGCGCAGGGACGTATGCTGCACGCGCAGGGACGCATGCGGTCCCTGGCACACACACCATGCACGCGACCCCATGTTTGCCTGAAACGCAGGCGGCTGCGAAAGCAGCAGCAGCGCTGCCGCTGCAAAGCACGGTCGGCGCCTGAACGCCGCCGCGTGCGCGCGCGCGCCCTCCGCCTCAACTCCCGCACAGGAGGAGGAGCGCGCGCGCGCCGCGGCGGCCGCGGCGGCGCGCGACGCCGAGCGCCGCGAGGCCCTGCTGCGCGCCGCCGCCGCTGGCGACGACGGCGTCAGCTGCGTGCTGTCTGGTCTGCCGCGCGGCTGGGGCGCGCCGCGCGCACAGGCCGCTGTCGAGAGGGTCGGCGTCGTCGTCGCTTCCATAGTCAAGGAGAAGGATTCGAACTCGGCGCTCCTGAAATTCGGCAGCCCCGAAGACCGCGCGCGTTTCGTCGAGCTGCATGCGCGCACGCCGGTCGCGGGCGCGGCGGGGCCGTGCAGGCT